AATATATTTGGACATACAAAAAGTATTTCCAAAAGTTTTCTATCAGTTCATTTTCTAGTAGGTACAAATCAGTAATCAGTGACTATAGAAAACAGTTATTGGTACAAATGCATTCGTCTTTAATATGAGGAGTGTTTTGGTTACAGTCTCTAGCATCTGGGTGTCATTGTGGAAGAATCATCCTTGACTTTAACAGTAACAAAGAAAATATGGAGCTTGTTAAATTGTGAAATAGTATAGCATTTATTTCCACCAGCTCACCCTTGCAAGGCTGAGTTCTAAAGAGTGGGCTTGAACATCATTGCCTTTGTGTGGAGACAACGTTAGAGAGGCAGGGTTGAGAGGGTTTGGGCATGTGCAGAGGAGGGATAGTGGATACGCTGGGTAAAGCATGTTGAAGATGAAGCTGCCAGTCAGGAGGAAAAGAGAACAAGCATAGAGGAGATTCATGGATGTTTTTTGTTTAAGAAGGTTCCTAACTCAGTGAAGTGACTGGAATTATCTGCTAAACAGCCAATAAGAGCTGTTCTTAAAATGCTTAGGAAGGGAGTTCTAGAAATAGAAAGCAGACTGTATCATTTTTCAACAGGTAAATATAAGAAAAGAAGATGTATTTAATTTTACAGGCTTTTAGAGGTAAATTATTGTAATGCTGCAATCACAGGTTTATCCATTCAGTGTTTTCTATAGTTTATATATAAAAACCCAGCCATTTCACTTCAGTGATAACCAGAAACAGCTCAAAGCCAGCAAACCCTATAAAGGAAGTGCCAAGTGAGAATGAGTGATAGAGGCCTAATAAAAAATATTACAAAATAATAAGGCAATTACTAATAAAAATATTAATTTTTAATAAAATAATTATGTAATTCACAAATGGGAAGAATTGATGGATGATCAATATTTTTTTTATATATAAGGTATAGATAGAAGAGTCTGGGCACTGTGTGTGAGGTCCCAGGGGCTGAGACTCAGGTGGAGCTTTATCCATAGGAAAGCTGCATTGTTTTTAACAGCTTCACCAAATGAACCTGAAATCTGTGTTTAACAGAAGACCTGTAAGATGTGTAGAAAAACACCTAACATTATTTGATTGATCATGGACAGTTCCTGTGATAATTAAAGTACCGTTACTGTGCCACCTGGGTAAATGTGCACATGGCTCAGATATTAGTCTACTACACTGACACAGTCCCATTAATAGCTATATTCTGACAGACATCTCACTGTGTTTGTAACAGACTCAATAGAGAAAAGTCTCTGGGCAATTCTGAGAT